CTTGGTGGAAAAACCATGCAAAAATATATCAAAACAAAAATAATAATACCGAATCTTTGAGAAAAACCAAAATACCATTAACAAGATCATCAAGTAAGACTGACATTTCTTTATGACAACCTTCACCAGTAGCTGATATTGCCATTAAACCAGCATGACGATAACGCCAATCAGCTAGAAAATAATTTTCAATTTAGCTTTTTTTTATCATCTTATACATATTGATTACTGACGGTTTTGAAGCATCGTTTGAACAGTTGTTAATATATAAGTAAGCATAGTTTTTCCACCAAGTGCACAAGCAAGACGATCCAATGAACTTTCACCAACAACAGCATTGCTATATGTTTCATAAATGTTTATTAATAATATTATATATATATGAAAGAAAAAATTATACCTATCATCTTCTTCATCTTCGATTGTATCTTTAATTGACCATTCTGGATCATCATCCAAATCAACCATCATTTCAAGTAATTGAGGAACTTAATTATTGAAGAAAAAAAAAAAAGAAAAGTAAGATATCATTTGTTTTCTTATATTTATTTTTACCAAGTCTATTCATATATTTCTTAGCAACTTTTCGAACCATTGCACTTGCTGTTTCTGATAAAGTAACAAGTACTTCAAGAGCTAAATGACGACGTGATTCTTCAAATTCATCTTTTTGTTGCATAGTCTATTCAACAAAAAAATTCATTTAAAATAAAAACGAAACAAAAATAAAATGAATATTTCAAACTTGAAGACATAAATTAAAAACTTCATCAATAGCTGGTCGAAGAAATTTTGCTGCATTTTCTGCAATATCAATTAATGCTTTAAGAACTGTATCATCATTCGAATTAGCCAAACTATGTGTTACTGTCTAAAAACAAAATATTTAATTTCATATTTATTTTAAAATTATACAAAATTCTTTTGATTTATTCGAAATACTTTATCATTCATTTTTTAACCGTGACATGAACACCTAGGGTTCACTTCAGATCCAAGTTAATTTGATCATAATCGTATAAATACACAATATTAGATAAAATCGATCATCTCCTAGACATTCTCTAATCAAAATTGAATTCTCTATTGTTTTCTTCCCGATAACGACAAGTAGACTATGCTTATTATATCCATCAGATACGTTCAACTATTATTTATTTGAATAGACTATTGACAAGTGCATTTGAACTTTAGGTAAGTACCCGAGTTCATTCGAAGTCGAGTAAGATTCAATATAGTGTTATACATTTATAAAAAGTAATTGAACCGTATTCTTTTCGGTATGCATTGAGGATACGTATTATAGTACATTGATAATATCAATCAATCATGCGTAACTATTCTCAATATGACCGAGCAGTTCAAATTATATGTGAATACTGAATAATGATGGATGATTTCTAAAAACCTTGAAAATAAAGAATGATAAAAAATACTATCTATATAGAATTCAAACGAACTTCTCTTTTGTTTGTTTTTCTTTTTATCAAGTCTTCAAATGTCCATGATAAACTAATGAGTAACAACTGTGTACACTATTTGTTTTTTTATCGATTGTAGTCTGAATAGATCTCAAATGCACAAAAAAAAAAAACAATCGCTTTAAAAGGTGGTTAGATCAGAATTAAAATAATATATTATTCTAGATTATTGAGAGAAATTAAATTGAATAAACTATTGTAAATATCTTCTATTAAATATATATTCTTACGATAATAACATACCGAAATAAGATATGGTAAACAATCTCGATGAATATTAAGTAATTGTGTCTTTTCACAATTGTGTTTGAGATAAGCAGCAAAAGCTTGTGCTGCTGTATAACGAACTTTTGAATCTTGATCATTTAAACAATTTAAAAATATTTGATGAATTATTTGTGTTAATTGTTCAGCTTGATTACCGAATATACCAGGAAAAGCTCTAAAAGAATAATTTTTCTTTTATGAGACACATTTGCTTCTTTTTTTTTTTTTTAATAAAGAAATTTACTCAAAAATAATTAAAGCAGATTCTTTTAATGCACTATGTGATGAATTAGCAGATTGAAAAAGAAATTCCATAATTTCAGGCCATTGTGATTGTTCATTTTCATCTTTAATTGAAAAAGAAAAGTTTTTTTTTTTTTTTTTTGTTAGAAAAAATGAAGCATTATTTCTTTTTTTAATACCCATTAAATTTTTGGCTAATTCAGCAGCAATATAACAAACTTTTTTTCGAATAGTTTCATCATCATCTAATTGTGTTATTCGAGCAATTAATTCTTTTTTAACTGCCGTTTGTTGATCAACTGAATATTTTGACCAAAAATTTTCAAATTCTGTTTGAAATAAACGTCGAAGCATAACAGCAGCAAATGAGCGAATCTTAATTTAAAAACGAAAAAGATTTTTTTATTCGTATAGAAATTTCTCTTATGTTTTTTAGAGATCTGTATCGAAATCAACTAAATATCTCACTAATAGATCCGATTGAACAAAGAAATTTTTGAATTTTAACTTTTATTCACTATACAAAACTGATGTTTTCGGAATTCGATTAATGTCTCTAGAGAGTCTCGATCGATCCTAAAAATGATTCCCATACAGATCTCTATGTATTTATCTTACTGGTCCGCTTAATGTTGTATTACGTAATGTAGACAAAAGTAAAATAGCCTTTTTTTCATGAGCTATATCTTGATAGATTTGCTAATAAGAAGAGAAAATCATAAAATTTATATTAATAAAATTCAATATATTAACCTCAGCAGCGGCACGTTTTTCATTATCAGCCTGTAAACATTCTTGAAGTGTAGTAAGAAACAAATGTTCTTCTTCTGAACTTGGACTTTGTGTTGCTGTCATTTTGATGAAAAACAATTAATCAAGATGATCAATAAGAGAAAAAATCTCTGAAATATATTTTATTTACGATAATTATATTCAAATAATAATAATAAAAAATAATATGAAAAGAAGAATATAAAAAAAAATAAATGAATGTAGCATACGAATGAATCCTCATAAAGACTTTCAATTAAAAAGAATACAATCCTTTGTTTGTCCAGGTATTATTTAGCCAATCGTTGAAAGATAATTTCAATATTTCATAATAATTTTTATTTTCAATTGAATGAATACTTCAATATATAAGTACAACATTTTATCAATGAAACTTCGATTGCGTCATTATTTTTCACAATCGATTTGGTATAAATAAAAGTAATTACATAATTCGAATTGTATTTGTATGACATCTATTGAATACAGAAATCTTTAAAGTTTTATATTCATAAATAATTTAATATTTATTATGAAGAAAAAATTGAATATTCAAATATGTTTTGTATTCAATAAGAAGAATATATAACGTAAATATTCGTTACGTTTCGTTAAAATTGAAAGATACGGAAAATAATAAAAGGTTCAAGTCAATGGTTATTAGCAAAAAGACAAGTTTTAGATATGAAGATTCTAAAAAAGTTACCAGCAAATAGTTTATAAAGTAAAATGAGTGTTTTTCGAGATCCATAACTTCCAGAAAAACAATGCAAACAAATGACTATAAATATTATGTGATGATTATCTAAGCAAGCCATTGTAATTGTAGAAGAACTCCATAAAAATAGTAAAAAGAAACTGTTGTTTTATTTTTTGAATTGACCATGATTTTATTGTAATAGTCTTAATATCAAGTACGTCAGATATATTCATTATTATTTGCGTAATCTATAGATCTAAAAAATTTTCGAGAGAAAAAAAAGGGAATGATAAGTAGGGAACTGCAAAATGGTCCCGGTTCCGGCGGGACCGGGAGTAAAAATTTTTCACATTAGTCCCGGTCAGTTTTTATGCAATATATTTTCACGTTTAATATTTTGACATGATTTAAGATCTGTAAATCAGATATTTTTATTTGCTATTTCTATAAAAGTTTTTACTGATTACGAGTCTGTTGGTAAGAATCTGAGTTTTCCAATTGCACAGGTTTTTGAATACATATAAAACAACCAACACAACACTATAGACGTAAGTTTAATTTGTTCATTCTTTGATGATTCCTTTATTGAAGTCTTATCAGATAATAGTAAATAGATATGTATCGCCGTTTATTTTTT